CCTCTTCCAAGACGACAGCCGAGTCTTCACCTTCTCCATGCATTGTCAGAGGCAGCACTGCGTACTGCGTGAGGGGCGAGGGAAAGAACCGGTCCATGAGGAGCTGCAGATTGAAGCTCAGGCTCCCCACCTCCGGCAAGGCCAAAGGGGCCCCCAGGGAGGGCCACGGGTCCCGGGCGAATCGACCGTCTTGCTCCTTGCCCCCGTCCTCTGCCGAGGCCTGTCGGCGCGGGTTGAGGAGGCAACTGAGCAAGGTCTCCCTGCGGCCGCCTGAGCTGGCACTGCTCCCGTCGCGCCCTGCTCCTCCCGTCACACCGCTAATGAACTCGCCGAAAGAGGAGGCGCCTCGAAACTGTGGAGGCTGCAGGGCGACAGGGATGGAGGGGGCCAAGGGAGAGGACGCCAAGTTGCCTTCGTCCCTCGACTCGCAGGGAGGACTGCTTCCCTCCCGGCCTATGAAGGGGGGAGAAGACGAGAGCTGGCGGCCAGCAGAGCAGGGGCTCGGGTGGCTCCCGCTCTCGGCCGTGTCCTCCCTGCTGCCCCGTGTCTCCGCCCCAGCCCCACTGCTCTTGGCCCCGCGGACCCCCGACAAGGTGCCCGACACCACAGCCGCCGGGGTCACCAAGCTGTTCTTGTGAAATTGAGAAAGTACTCCTCCCCACCCTTTAAAGGACACAACTATGCGCTCCACGCAGCATATTTGCTGGTGTTTTAAAAGCTGTGCAATGTATGTGACGAGTGATGAGTGAGGTGTGACGATGATTTCGCAATGTGGTGGGTGGGCGGCATTATGGTGACGGGCCAGAACGCTTGGCTGAGAAGGGGAACGGCGACTGCTGCCCGCTGCCCCCGGGGGTCAGGCCTGCTGCCAGAACACTAACCGACACGCGCACGCCACGGGGGCGACACCGCGCTCTCCACGCACTCATATACCGCTCATCAGATCGCCTCGAGTCGTGTGTCTCAAGGATTTGGCGTTAGGGGTTGCCCGTGGTGAAAGTGGAAGGGCAGAGAAAGGAGCGGATGACTCAGCTGCCCGAGCCCCATCGTCAAGATTAATGTGTCCCGTTGCATCCACTTTCCCTTTTCCCGGCCCTCCATGGCAGTGCCATTGCGCGCGCATGCAATGGACCATCTTGTTCACATGAAAAAACATTTTGTGGGTGCTCCAGGTCCAACTCACTCGACCAATGCATCCTTAGATCACATCACGTACACAGTTTTATAACCTCCCCTACGAGACAATGGGCGAGGGCCCATGCTGCTTTCTCGGTATTCCTGCATGCGTAACTATAAAAAGGGAGGCGAACGAGAACACGCGCTGCAATCATTCACTTATGAAGAAGTCATAGACAAATGAGCGTAAAAATTGCAAAATTATACACATTAGAATTTATAAGATTCTCTGGAGAACAAATTCATTTTAGTTTCTGTTAAAATACACTCAATGTATGCTACCACGCCTCAATCCTCTCCAATGAAATATTTGCGTTAAGTGTGGATTTACAGCTCGCTACATCATTCACAACGCGTCCTTTCTACGCCTATGTATGCTAAATTCCCTCGTCCTCTCTGCGGCGACTTTCCTGGCCCTGCCTCAATATGTCCAACACATCCTGCTCTGACATTTCGTAAGCACGTTTTAAAATTTTTGCGGGATGTCCCTCGCCCATCCTCTCTAAAATCGCGTACGTACGTGGGGTTATATCCCTGGAGGCTATCGTTACATCTTGCTGGTCTTCTGGCCAAACCAAGGACTCGAGAAGTAGCTGCGATATAATGAGGATGTATTATGTGAGGATCGACATATTGAAGAAAATGTAAACAAGGAAAATGTGCGTTACGTATGGAGGAGAGACAAAAAGAGGATTAAAGACGCATTGTGCAGACCTGCCTCCCCGAACTCACCCGTCGATCCCGCGCAGTGTGCAAATGCGGGCACAGCCTGGAGAAGAGCCTGACAGTGTTCTTGAAGGTCAAGGGCCCCACGCTGACCAGGGTCTCGCCCATTACGCCATTTCCTGAGCCCGGTAGTGTGTGCAGATCCAGAGGCCGCGTGGTCGTGATCAAGACCTTGGTTGCCCGCGTCTGCTCGAAGAGCTGCGAGAGGAAGATCTTCACATTGATCCCGTCGTGGCCCGCCTGCAGCTCTTGGAGATGATCGAGGACAATCAGCACCTTCGCCGTGCGCAGGCGCGCAAACAACCATTCCTCATCCCTCTCCAGGATCCCGTCGTCGACCAGGCCGCCGATGGAGGCGAGGCTGGAGGCAAAGGGCGGGGCTGTAGGGGAGAGAGTGCTCGCCAAGGCGTGGCCTGGGGCCCCGTGACCTGAGCCCAAGCCTCCAGCCCCACCGCCACGCGCAGGAAGCTGTCTCAGAACGCCCTGGATGATCGATTGGATCAACTCCTCCAAGCTACTCTTCCCCTGCAGCCGGACAAAGACAATCCCGTCCGTGTGAAAGCGCCGCAGGGCCATGTAATGACAGCACGCAGCCGCCAAGGCGCTCTTGCCTATCCCACCCAGCCCGAGCAAAGTGACCAGGCGCCGGTACAGACACGCGTTCACGACCCGGTACATGCTTACTTCCCGGCCCAAGAAGTCCTCGGGGGGCGTAGGCAAGTGAGCCTGCTGCTCCTGCTGCAGCAACCAGGGGGCCTCCGCACCCATCGATCGCCCGCTGCCCCACGAGGTCAGCGTGGGCTGCGGCGCGGTGAAGATTGCCACGTTGTGGTCGCAGCCCTCGGGAAGAAGCTCGAATTTGCTCACCTCGCGCTCGGGGGAGGGCACGTTGGGACTCGCTGCCACGGCCTGCTGGCCGATGGCGAAGCTGTGTTGCACCGTGTTGCCGACGAAGAGGGAGAGGTAGAAGGCTTTGGTGAAGGCGAGGGCGGCCGAGTCGGTGATGGTTGCCTCCAAGTTGATGCAGACGACGTGTGGGACCTCCGCGTCCACGAAGGCCTGCCCCGCGAGCTTGGAGTAGCAGGAGGAAACCACGACCAGGTCGAGCTTGTGGGAGCCGGCAGCGCAGAGCGAGCGAAGCATGTCCACGGGGACGAGCTGGAGGCCGCCGGCGCCGTCCTCGAAGGTGAGGAGATTCCGATGGCCGTGGCCGGAGTAGTGGAGAGCACGCGCCCCCAGCGTCACGGCCGAGCGCAGGGTATCCGTGGTGCAGAAATCGAAACGCGCGCAGATGTCGCTCCCGCTCTCCATGAGGGACTGCACCAGTTGCTCGCGTTCCTGGTCGAAGAAGAGCAGCTCGATGGGGTGCAGGTTTCCCTCCAGGTCTCGCCAGGCCAAGGGCGCCGAGAACAAGACTGAGAGCACGTCGCGCTGGGAGGCCGGCGTCGTGTCGCCTTCTTCTTCTTTGACTTTCCCTTCCCCGTCGCCTATCGCCCAGCTCCCTTGAAAAGGGCCCACGCCCCTTCCTTCTGTGCCTAAACTGCCCGCCCGACCGCCCACTTCCAGCATTGTCGGCATTGGTTCCTCCCCTTCGTACCGATCATCGTCAGTTTCCACCTCGTCCTCGGTTTCCTCCTTGTCCTGGTTCTCCTCCTCCCCTGCCCTCGCCTTGTCGGCAGAACGTCCACGATGTCGGCGGCCTCGCACCGGCTCGGAAATACTCCGATGGTGGTAACCAGTCGACTGCACCGCAATGGGGGAGGAGGGTGGGGAATGGCGACGCGCAGCGCTGTTGGAAGCGCGCTCATTTACCTGGGGTTGAAAATTTCCTTCTGGAGTGCCTGGAACCTTTTGCTGGCCCCAATTCCGGCCTTGGGGCCCTGATTGCTCCTGCTGTGAGTCCCGTGTCTGTGACGCCGCTCCTTGCGACCAAGAGGACGAGGACGGCGGTGGTCCTGTCACGGTCATGCGCACTGGTCGTGAGAGCTTTGTCAGAGGGGCGTAAAACCTCCTCCTGTTCCCCGCCAGCTGCCGTTCGATCAGCTCCCTCTCTTCTGCCTTCAGCGCTTCGTTTCCCCCCTGCAAGCGCAAGCACCGCAAGGTCTGGTTCTCGAGCAGTCCGAAGAGAAGCTCTCTGCCCCCTTCTACGCCCAAGCGCGTCTTGGACAGGTTCAGGTCGATCAACTTGCGATTCCGCCTCAGCAATCGCCGGAGGCCCTCCACCAGGGGCTTGCTGTCGTTTATGGCGTTCGCAGCCAGAGAGAGATTCTCCAGGCTCGTGTCCTCCTCCAGCAACGTGAAGAGGCGCTGCATGGCCTTGGCGGTCAGAGCGTTGTCGTCCAGTAGGAGGGTTCGGAGCCAGCTCATGCTCCCTCGGTGGTGGACAAAGGCCGCCACGGCGTCGAGGAAGAGGCTGGCGTTCTTGATGCTATTGCTCGCCAGGCCAAGGGAGTCGAGGGTGGGCGAATAGCAGGTCAGGGCTTTGATGGCTTCCGCCGCACCCGCGTCGCCTAGATTGTTGCCGGTCAGATCCAAGTAGCGCATGCCCACGTACCCCAGGAGAGATGGCTGTCGGGAGAGGGTGGGAACAGGCACGGGGGATGCCGGCGTCTCAGTTTTCCTGTGCTCGTCTTGAGAAATGGGCCGTCCGCTCTCACCACCTTCCGGACCCATGCCTTTCCTCCCGCTGCCGAGCGGGGCACTGTCGTCATCGAGAGGGGCAGGCACGCCTCCCTCTTTGCGCAAGAAGGCAAAGAGGGGAGAAAAATCCTCAGGGCGGAGGTGGGCGTGATGCCGAATAGCCAGACCCTGAAGGGCCAGGCCCGGAGGCTGCTGAGTCCCGCTCACAATCCCGCCCCCTTTCCCCGCCCCCCCCGAGGAGGAGGCGGCCGACGACATGGCGGCCATAGAGGCCGCGTGCAGGCTCTTGGTCGCCAATATGTGGGAGAGGATGACCAGAGAGTCCCGGTTCAAGACCCGCTCGAAGGTGACGTGCCTGACCCAGCTTGGCACCCCGCCCACCAGGTAGGCCAGGCTGGTGCCCGCGCTCCCTTGCTCAGGGCGGGAGGCTTGAAAGACGAGGGACTTGACCTTGGGGAGGACGTGGAGGCGTTCGAGGAAGGCCTGAG